ACAGTGTTCAATCAGTGTTCACCCTTAAAAACTCCCCAAACGCAAATGTGCCTTTTATATTGGGACGGAGGGAGTTAGGGCTGGGACTTTGGAACCAAGAACCGGAGAACCGAACCGGACCGAACCGTTATGACCCGGTTCGGTTTGGTTCCAACATTTATTAGTTATTTTTTAACGGTTCGGTTCCTATTTTTTTTATTAATGGGGTTCGGTTCTCGGTTCCTGAAAAAAATATGTACTAGGAACCGTTAAGGAACCGTTATATATAATAATTAAAATTATATATATTTCTTATGAGTATATATATATATTTATGTATATTTACTTACTTATTTTTATATTACATTCATTATTTTAGTTTAGTTATTCAACTATTTAAAACTATTATTCACTTCAACCGGTTCTCTTAGGCTTCTTAGGCTTCTCATTAGGTCAGAACTCCGGCGGGTCGGAACTCTGAAGGTCCAAAGTATTTAAAATTATTATTCTATTTAACTGTTTAAGCGTATTTGTATCGTAATTTCAAACGTAGAATGTCTTTTTGGCAAAAATTTAGTCATGATTTGTAAAAAAAAAATCGAAGACTAGGAACCGTTAAATGACAAGAACCGAACCGTTAAGAACGGTTCGGTTCCTTATCGGTTCTATAAAATAATTTATAAGAACCGAACCGTTAGTAAAATTTCATATTTTCAAACGGTTCCACATATTTGGCCTAGGAACCGAACCGGTCCCAGGCCTAGAGGGAGTATCATTTACTCCCTCCGTCCCATTTATATTGTCCCGGAAGAAGGTGACACGGTTATTAAGAAAAGTGAGTTTGTGTGGTTGATATTAATTGATAAAGTAAGAATAAAGTAAGAATGATTTAAATCCACACAAACTTTGCCAAATATGGTATGGGACAATATAATTGGGACTTCCCGAAAAGGTAAAACGGGACAAAATAAATGGGACGGAGGGAGTATATAAGAGCACCCCTTCGAATTTATCTATGGTTCCGCCACTGCATGCATGCAACATGAATCTCGGTTAACTTGTTTTCAAAATACACAAACAAATACAAGTACTTCTTATAAGAGTAAACTTAAAGAAATAGTATCGAAACATTCTTGTGTAAAGGAAATTAATCAACTAGTCAAAATGGTAAATGTTTATAATGCTAAAACCATAGTCTTAGATAGAACACATCCATATATTTTGGGGAATTTTTCACAAATAGCCTAAAAGGTAAAAATAATATCACTTTTGTTACCTTCTAAAATTTCTTTCAATAATAGACTAATCAAAGTTTTCTTTTCACTAATGGACTCTTCTAACAACACTATAATTATGAATGGAGGTTGGTACCCTTGAATTGTGTCAACACACTTAATGCATAAGATGTTGTACATTATTAATAGAGGGTGGAACCTTAATTTTTCCCTTGGCTGTTTTAACCTTACCGTACCTTAAGTGTATTTAACTTCCGTTAAATACCAAGATCAGGATAGCAAATCTATCCCTAGCTCATGATAGACAAGTCCATGCGTATCCTTCCATGTCACTTCTTTATTTTAATTTATCTTATTTTATGTTATTTCTTCTATTATTATTTTCCCTTTTGTTTTATGTTGTTTTTGTATATTACTCCCTCCGTCTCTAAATGTTGTTCCAATTGCGGATTACGAAGCTTGACCGATGACAAAGTTAAATGATCCCTGTGAAAACTCGGATTATTTTTAGTAAATAAAATTTACATATTCAGAAACTACATTAAATCCGCTACAAAGCCTGCAAAAAATAATTCAACTTTTATAAAATTTTGATATAAAAAGTAAGAGATTAAGAGTGATTTAAGTTGGCCAATTGAATAGTGAAATGGAACTTCTTTTAGGGACAGAGGGAGTACGTAGTATTATTATGGAGTATTAGTAAGGATGTACGGAGTACTTTTCATTCACTTTATAGTGTATACTCCCCGGCCGAAATTCTTTTACAATTTCACACTTATTGTTTTTCTTAACATACTCAAATTTCATTTAATTGTATGCATTAATATAAATGTTACGGAAAAAATATATTGTTACAATTATGGATTATATGTTCAATATAAGAAATATTTTACCTATGAAACATACACAAATTTTTCATCAAAGGTTGATGCTACATAGCTAAATATGTGACTTAAATGTAACCTTTTATGGGAAAAATACAAAAAAGATACTTGTGGTTTGAATGTACCTTTCAGATAGCGGCACGCGCGTGTTTCATTTTTTAACAAAGTGGGACATGTATTTCAATTCCATTGTCACAGTTGGGGCAGGACATCTAACGCCGTTAGAAAAATTAACTCCGTAACAATTTTGCATATAACACTATTTTTACAAAAGACAACATTATTTTAATATTGGACAAACACTTTCGCGCCTTGCGCGAGTAATCGCTAGTAGACTTAATAACGCCGTAACCTTAAAACTTCGATCAGCCCACTTCGTCGTTGCTATGTAAGTACGTGGTTAGTGCCGAATCCAATATTCCTGACACACAGGGAAATGATGAGCATATTTGAGAAACCAAATTCGATATTAAAAAACTGAAAAATTCAACATAAAAATAAAAAAATCAATGAAAAAATATAAAACTGGAAGCTTGTTAATAATTTTAAAACTATAAGAAAATGAATTCAAAATTTTAAAAACAAGTCGGAAAAAATAAAGAAAAATTAAATATAAGGAACTCATTAATAAACATATAAGAGTTTAAAATAGTTAAAAAATTTGAAAGAAGTTAAAAATTATATAAAAAATCTGAAAAGCAGATAAAAATGTTTTCGAACTACTAAGTACTAACGAGTATGAAAAGTAATTACGGAGTATACTTTTATGTAATAATATTTTTTTATTTAAATTGGAATATATACAAATTAAAAAATCCATAAAATCCAGATGTATATATAATTTTAAATATTAAAAATTCAGAATAATTAGTAAGTACTACAAAATAGAAAATATGATTCATAAATTTGAAAAAAATATCAGAATAGTAATGTAAATCATAAAACAGTTTATAATACTCCATATTAAAAACTAGAAATATTCAAAAAAATGAAAAATTAAAAAGTTGAGCAAGCAAATATTGAAAATTTGAAAATTTTTATTTTAAAATTGTTATTTTTAAAATATTTAAAACTAATTAATAACTTCCTATTGTTAGTTTTGTAGAATAGTGTTTCTTTTTTGTTGATAACTTTTATTTTTCATTTTTATTATTGTTTCACCATGTTTCTAATTGTTGCTAACATTAACAAACCTAAATCTTTCATTTTAGATTTTTAGGTGGTCACACACACACACACGATATTTTTATTTAGAACCAGTAGCAAAAAGCCAAAAATACAAATACACCTAAATAAATAACAAAAATTAAAATCGATAATAAACTACAATAAGCAACACGATGCAACAATATACAACACAAAGCAACATTACGCAACAAAAAGCAACACCTAGAATGCAACAAAAAGAAACAAAAATGCATATAAAGGTATCACAACAAATTCACAATTTAACACATGATATCAATTTGTCACATATAACTATTGTATAATTTCCCTTTGATTCTTTTCATTTAGCTTTGGAAGACTTGTTGCTGACTCCTTTGCAGAATAGCACAACACACTCCTTTGTAGAATAGCAAGTCCCTGCCACTGAGTATGAGAGGGAGGATGATGAAAATTTCCCAGATTTTTCATTGACTGAAATTTCAATCCTTCAAAAAAAATTGAATGGATTCCCTGCAGATTCTAGTCTCATTAGCAACATACAAAACAATATTTTGTCTTTAAACTTAGTAACATTTCATCTGCTAGATGTTGAAATCAAAAGAAAAATATAAATCACAACTAAAGTTGTAAAGAAATTAATCCAACACATCTGAATTTAAAAGCATAACAGAAAGCAAAATATAATAATCGAAATTTAATATTAATAGCAATTATAAAATTAATAGAAACTAAGCAATTACAGGCTTTCGGATTAAGCACTTTCATAATTCAGATTATAATGCCATTCAAATCAGCAACTTCCGGTTTTCGAATAACAAATTTACAAATCGACATGTAAATTTGAGCTTACCTTGAAAAAATTAGGTTAGAAACATAAAAAATCAGGAATCAAGTCGGAGGGAGATAGCAGACGACTTAAGGAAGCTGGAGGAATTACCTTTTACTTGAATTTGTTCGTCAGCTATGATCCTAGGAGTAGTGCCGACGAGGCTGTGATGCTTTATGGACGAAGAACCGACCAGCGAATCGGCGTCCTATGTTGTGGTGACTGGCCACTCCGGCGAGTTGGTGTCGATGCGTCACAGAGTCACTAAGGGAAGCCGAATGATTGGAAGCTAGAGGATGAATTCGTAGGATTGGAGTAAATAGATGAGACTGGAGGAGTAGTGGAGGCCAAAGGTATGGATGGAGGGGGTGTTTGGATCTGATTCTCAAAACTGATTCTGCTCCTTCAGGGAGCAGAAGCAGAAGCTGGAGTGTTTGGGTGAAATTCCAGAAGCACTTCTGGAGCTCTAATTTACTCTCAGAATCAGTTTTTTTAGAAGCTGGGGGTACCAGCTTCTGAAAACTGATTCTGATTCTGCTTCTGCTTTTAAAAAAGAAGCAGAAGCAGAATCAGTTCCAAACACCCCCGGAAGGAGACATGGCGGGATGAGGAAGAGAGGAGGGGGTTAGAGAAGTCGGAGCGGAGGATGATTTTTTTGTTTGAGCGATTGATTGATTTGGGATTCAGGCTACTTTTGAAATAAAAGAAATAAATTTGAAAAGTTAAAAGTTGAGATATGAAAAGTATTTTATGGGTGGACATAAATGATATGCCAAACAAAAAAGTGACCGAATCGGGATATTTCCACTATATTTTGCATATCCGGCCCATCACCTTAGCCGAGCCCATCCATAGACTTGTACGATGATATAGGAGGGTAAGCGAGAGGGGCGATGATTTCAGACTGATCCGGACATCCATCAACCCTAGCTAATCAGACTCACGCCCATCTCCTTCCCCTCATCACCCGGCCTTTCCTCTCCGTCGTTTTTTTTTGAAGAATGCCTTGCGGTGTAAGGGCGCTTGTGCCACCGGTAAAGCTACTCAAATATGATTTTTCGAAGGTCTGCCCCTGCAACGAATGTTCCGAGAAGACAAAGGCGATTGTGGAATTCGACAACTATCTACACTCTAAATTTGCCCAAATCCAGGTACGTAGAAAAAAAACGCACAATTTTCCACGCTCAACTAATTATATGTTTATTGTTTATTTTTTTTTTATTTATCTATGTATCTATATTTATTTATTTATTTATTTAATTATATATTTATATATTTATATATATATGTATATTTAGTTATTTATTTATTTATTTATTTATTCATTTATGTGTCTATGTATCTATATATGCGTTTAGTCATTCATTTACTCATTCATTTCATTGATTGATGATTGATTTGTTCACTCATTTATTTGTAAATAAACAGGCACCTTATACACAACTGTTTTTTGATATCGAACGCTTTACGCCTCTTTTATCTGCCTTTTGGGAGACAACACAGACATGGACTTGTCTTCAACATAGCCTTAAAAGTCTACACGAGGTGAGTGATTTCACTGTCGTCCTCAGTGTAATTTTGAAGTGAGAAGTTTGCTACCTGTAATGTGTTTTATGATATATTTGTTTCAGAAGTCCGGGGTTCCGCTCAGAAGAAGTAAATCTGAAGAACATATAAGAGATGTATTCAATCAAACTGGTACTTTCCTAGTAAATGAAGGGGAACTGGATAAATTTGTGCTTCAAGATGAATGTGAGGGTCATGATGATAAACCCACTCATCTTGATGATAAAATATTTGCTATGGTAAGACACTAGATTATAGAGATTTAGGAATATTCCAGATACACAAGTAGAAAGTCTAGTGATATCATTTACCCCCTGTATGGTTGGGGGATTTAGGAGGAAAGGGAAGGGGAGGAGTCATATTTAAATTTAAAATAATTTTTCCATTTAGACAAATTCAAATAATGTGAAGACAAAATAGTATATAAAAATAGATGGTTTAACTAATTATATAGTTGTTTGAAGTTTAATACTAAAAAAATCAGATAAATTAATAAAATAAAAAATCAATCCTCCCCTTCCCTCCCCTCCGAAATCCTCCAACCATACTGGCAAAAAAATTTATATCTTTTCATTTCTTCTGTTCCCAATAAATACGTAGTAAGGAGTACCTTTTTCTTAATAGCATATTGTGTTAAATACCCTCAAAGGCGTTTTGTATTTTATGCTCACCGGTACTTGTGTTCCTTTTAAGAAATAAGTCATTTTAATGATGCATTGGAACCTTACCTCACACCATTCTATCACTTTTTTGCGTTTGTGACTTTGCCTTGCTTAAAATCTATCTTAAAATGATACATAATCTTTTATGGCTTTTCTTTTGACAGTATTCGTGGTTCGAATTCACCAAATTTAAGGATGTTGTGCATAACATCCTCAAGAAGATGAAAGAGCTTGAAAATCAAGAAGATCAAGATGGGAAGTCTGCTGAAGAAGGAAAAATGTCTCTGAACCTTTCAAACTCTAAGAGGCACTTGGAAGACCAAATGAAGGCCAGAATATCTACTTGTGAACAATTTTGTTTCTTTCCTTTTTTGCTAATGTTGTCTCTGTTTGGAGTATAGTATCTAATGATATCATACCATACCGTACTGTACCATACCATATCACATCACACGGCTCCTTGATGCCTTGATGTCACCTAGGTGACAAGGCCGCTCGTTGACACCGCACCTTGCTTACACGCTGTGACCTTGGTTGGAGTATTCTTAGGCCTTGACTAATTCCATTCAATCATTCTTTGTCCATGCTGTTTCTCTGATTGGAGTATTTATTATGTCTCTATTATAGCTTTTCAAAGGATTGCCATTTGAAGATATGTGCGTAGAGATTAAAAGGCTTGTGAGGAGAGGAGGTGAAAAATATCGAAACTTGGTTGAAGACGCTATGGAAGTAATCTGGGAGACCTATCGTGCTCGGGTTGCTATTAGAAGGAGCTTTCACGAACAATCTGAAATGGTAATATGTTGCTCTCTGATTTGTAGCAAAATACATATTGTAATTATTGCCATTCTCATTGCACCTAACCCTAAGTTTGTTTGTATAGATCTCTCGCCACCCGTGCAATATGGATAGAGAGAAACACCTGCCGAATGAATTGGGAGATTTTCTTGATTCTTTACTCAATCAGGTTTACTAAAGTTATATAGCTTCCCCACCCCCTACTTTTGCTATTTTTAAACCACAAAGTTTCTCCATTGAATTAGGCTAAAACATTTAGAGAAGTGTGGGACAGTATCGAGGGAAGACTCTTTGGTCCATCTGAAGAACCAGACCCTAAGAGACAAAAGTCATAGCACTCAGAGCAAACGTGCTCTAATGTAAAGTAAGTCTTCTGATCATGTTAGTTATGTCACTTTAAAAGAATCAATATTTTATGCGAGGAGTTATCATAAGTAATAATTTTGATGCTCAGTGAGTTCATTGAGTACAGATCACGGGCCCAAAGTAAACATAGGCCACATAAAGTTAAATTTGAACGAGATCTGTTTTAGCGAGTTATTTTAGAAAAGATTTTGAGGTCTCTCTAGAAAACATTTCCAAAAATGAATTTTTAGAAAGTTTGAGATCACATTGAAAGCTTTAACAATTTTTTAGAAAGTTTGACTTTCATGCTTGCCTACACACAATTTTGACTTTAATCATCTTTAATTATGTATTAGTAAACATTAGTAGATATGCTTTTGGATCTTTTTAGGTACAACTTGAAAAGAGTTTTTTGGCTAAAGGGTCAAATAGGCCCTCCAACTAATTTAAAAAGTGCAACTCGATCCTTATATAGAAGGTTTTGCCCGGCCGTCACCAATTGGAGCGGTTCCCGGTGGATTTTTTTGATGAAATTTCTTGAGCATCTTCTTCATTAAGTCTAGTTTACTCATACCAAATTTCAGCTAAAAATTCAACCGGGAAGACAGTCAAATGATTTTTTGAAGATTACTGCGAAGTTAAACAACGCAATACATTTTGGAAAATCATTTGACTGCCTTCCTGGTTGAATTTGTAGCTGAAATTTGGTATGGCTAAACTAGACTTGATGAAGAAGATGCTCAAAAAATTTAATCAAAAAATTCCACCGTGAACTGCCCCAATTAGCGACGGCCGGGCAGAACCTCCTATATAAGGGGCTAATTGAACACTTTAAGTCAGTTCAAGGGCCCATTTGACCCTTTAGCCTTTTTTTTTATAGATTCCCTTGAGAAAGTTAATAGGCTTGGAGTCATTTGTGACATATTTGCCAATTCTGCTAAGACTTATGGCCAAAGCTTATCTTCAACAATTAGCATAGACGTGTGGAATGTTTTTCGGATTCGTAGTGGCTTTTTAAGTGTAATCTTACAAGTGTTTTTCTGCACATACAGATACTGATCTAGGAAGACTGGTCTAAGAAGACAATGATCGGTTTGAACGGTGGTGTGGCATGATGAGTTAACGTGAAAGACTTTGACTGGTTATATATATATTTATATAATTATTTGAGTTTTTAAATTTGAGCAAGTCTCTTTTGTTTGTTTATATTAGTAAATCCGTGATGCATGTGGATGTTATTTAGCTATCATGGAGTCATATTTTTATGAGTTACTTTACAGCTTAAACCATTGTTATAGTGTGGTTGTCTATACATATGCTTTTGTGCCCTAAACGTATTAATTGAACATTGTAGACAGAAGCTCCAAATAGGGATGGCCTGTTTTGGGTCAGGCCCGGGGTGCGGGCGGGCTTAGTTTTTCTGGGGTGAAGCCTGCACCGGCCTGGGAAATGGGAATCAACCGTTAGTGGGACAGGCTGTTTTTTTTTTGTTTTTTTTTTAAATTTTTCTTTTTTATTCCAACAACTACCCCCCACCCCCCACCCCCACCCCCCGAAACCCTGCCAAAACACCCAACCCACCTACCATAGGCCCAAACCCAAAAAAACCAAAGTAAAAGAAAAAAGCCTGGACTGAACCTGGACCGGCTGGGCTGGTCCCCATTTACTCAGCCCCGGAATTGCCCCCAATAAAGTCCCGGAATTGTGGCTGTCTGGTTCCTGGGCTTGTTAGACTAGAACTGGACCTGGTTCTGGTTTGGGCCTGGGCCCGGCTAGGCTTTTGTTTGGGAAAGGTGGTACCGGCCCGAGTAGCTGGCGGTTCTGGGTTGGGCCAGACCACCTGGTGCCTGGTGGTTTACTGGGCCGGTTTCGGGCTAAATGTATTTTGTTTGTCCAATGAATTTAAGAGAATTGATATATACAAAAAGTTCAAGTATATATATTTGAAATAAGAAGTACAATTGAGAATTGCAAAAAATAAAATAAATGAGTTAAATTTTGTAATAGATAAATCAATCGGAATCTCTGCTTTCAATTGTTTCCTACATAAAGTGGCGGATGGAGGTGATTGTCATTTCTTGATTTCTATGTTGGGCTTTCAACCAATTGTAGAACAAACAAGTGTCTCAAGAGACTTTGGGTTCATTCTTGTCCTATAATCAGTTTGTACGTTGCCATTCGCACTAAGGTGTTGTTCTCTTCGTCTTATTCTTATTACTTATTGCTTATTCTTATATTCTTATTTTATTCAGATCAGAAACATTCAAATCAGATCAGAAAAGTTCAAACATGATTTATCACTTTTATTATTATATTAACTATTATTATTATTATTATTATTATTATTATTATTATTATTATTATTATTATTATTATTATTATTATTATTATTATTATTATTATTATTATTATTATTATTATTATTATTATTATTATTATTATTATTATTATTATTATTATTATTATTATTATTATTATTATTATTATTATTATTATTATTATTATTATTATTATTATTATTATTATTATTATTATTATTATTATTATTATTATTATTATTATTATTATTATTATTATTATTATTATTATTATTATTATTATTATTATTATTATTATTATTATTATTATTATTATTATTATTATTATTATTATTATTATTATTATTATTATTATTATTATTATTATTATTATTATTATTATTATTATTATTATTATTATTATTATTATTATTATTATTATTATTATTATTATTATTATTATTATTATTATTATTATTATTATTATTATTATTATTATTATTATTATTATTATTATTATTATTATTATTATTATTATTATTATTATTATTATTATTATTATTATTATTATTATTATTATTATTATTATTATTATTATTATTATTATTATTATTATTATTATTATTATTATTATTATTATTATTATTATTATTATTATTATTATTATTATTATTATTATTATTATTATTATTATTATTATTATTATTATTATTATTATTATTATTATTATTATTATTATTATTATTATTATTATTATTATTATTATTATTATTATTATTATTATTATTATTATTATTATTATTATTATTATTATTATTATTATTATTATTATTATTATTATTATTATTATTATTATTATTATTATTATTATTATTATTATTATTATTATTATTATTATTATTATTATTATTATTATTATTATTATTATTATTAATTATTAATATTATTAATATTTTATTGCTATTATTATTATTAAATTATTATTAATATTGTTATTGCTATTATGATTATTATTGTTATTGCTATTATGATTATTATTATTAAAATATAATTATTAATAATAATAGAATGATAAAAAATAAGATCTTAATAATAATATTAATATTTTAATAAAATAATAGTAATATAAATTCAATTATTAAGAAGACTATCATTATTATTATTATTATTATTCTTATTGTATTAATAATAATATGATTAATATTATTATAATATTATATTATAATTATATGTAATTATAACTATAACTATAATTATAATTATAATTCTTATAATTATAAGTATAATAAATTATAATTATTATAATTATAAGTATAATTAATTATAATTATAAATAATTATAATTATACTAATTATAATTATAATAATTATAATTATACTAATTATAATTATACTAATTATAATTATAATAATTATAATTATGATTATAATTATAATTAAAATATACTATTATAATAATAACCATATTATTATTATTATATTATTGTAATAATAATATTAATATAATAATATCGTTATAATAATATTAATTGTAATTATATTACTATTATTATATTAAAATATTATAATTACTGTTAATATAATTATAATTATTATTAATTATAATTATAATAATTATAATTATACTTCTAATTATAATTTATGATTATAATTATTATTTTTATTATAATTATTAAAAATATTATCATTATTACTATTTTAAATATTTTACGGAGTAATTATAATAATATTGATAACTATAGTTACAATTATAGAGATAAATATTGTAATTATAATTAAAATTGTAATTATATAAGTAATTATAATTAAAAATATAATTAAAACTATAATTGTATCTATATTTATAATTAGTGTAATAGGTATATTTTTTCATTTTAAATTTAATTATTATTATTATTATTATTATTATTATTATTATTATTATTATTATTGTTAGGATTATAATTATAATTTTATTTAAATTATATTTGTAATTACAATTATAATAATTATAATTATAGAAATATTCAAATCAGATCAGATCAGAAAGATTCAGATCAGATCAGAAGGATTCAGATCAGATCAGAAACATTCAGATCAGACCAGACTAGATCAGAAACATTCAAATCATATCATAAAGATTCAGATCAGATCAAATCAGATTAGAAAGATTCAGATCAGATCAAATCAGATCAGAAAAATTCAGATCAGATCAGAACTTAAAAAATTCAGATCTGGCGAAGAGAACAACATCTAAATTCTTGTTCCACGACAACGGTAGATATTGGCATTGCTAGCACTGGCTTAGCCATCTTTGATAAAATCGGGAACATAATTTCTTTTTTCTTCCACCACTTTAAAACGTCAAAGTTATCCTCAACTTCATAATCAACGGGAAATGTTAGATATATCACAAACTCGTTAACTGTGCTTTGTTCATTAGCGGGAGCTGTTTTACTTTTTTTCATAAGATTGCCAAATGCATATTTAAAAAGTGATTTTCCTTTAGATGAAGAAGATGGTCGCGTCACGGGAGGGGGTACATTACCATATTGTGCATAAAATTCATTATATAATTGATTAAATAAATTACTAACCTTGTTGAATTCTTGTTTAGGGTCTATGGGATTATCGTCGAACTCTTGAGTCGAAAAAAAAAAGCATAATAGTAATCTCTACAATTTCCCAAATAAGCAAGTTTATAACGAGGATCAAGAATAAATGCAATACCATATATATGTGGAATATGTAAATAATATTTTAAAAATTCTTCTTTAAAATACCATGAAGTCACAAAAATAACTAACGTAAGCGGCATCGGAAAACTCACAAAAAGCGCAGGTGAGATTAACAACTTCAACAACAAATTGGTGTGCGGTAGGTGTATAAACATGACTAAAAGTTTGAGTTGCATCATTACAATATACCAAAACATTCACATTTTTTTCGCAAGTATTGATGTCAGTCGGGTTTATAATATAGTTACAAGATTGTCATAAAAAAGTAGGAAAATGCTCTTTATATCTAATAAGTAGTTTAATTAAGTTATATGTAATATTCTAACGAATAAATAAATCTTTTGGAAAAACACAATAATTGACACAACTATTCTTCAAATATTGCCGCTATTGCATTTTTAGTGGAGTACTAACTCAAATCATTTTAATTCTCCCTTCACTACCTCCAAAGCATTTCCTAATTTGGCTAGCCCTTCTTGTACACACAGATTTAAAATATGACATGCACAACGTTGATGAAAAGACCTACCCATCAATGTAGAAGTACCACACAGTTCACGCAATCTAGGTATAGCAACAGTATTATTACTAGCATTCTCAAAACCTACTGCAAACACCTTATCAATAAAATTATACTCAATTAAAATATGCCCAATGAGAAGATAAATATTATCAGCAGTGTGTCGATCATTAAATTCACGAAAAGCAAGAACATGTTTATGCATATTCCAATCATCATCAATAAAATGTGCAGTCAGACCCAAATAATATAAATGATGATAAGTATCCTCCCATATATCGCTACAAATACTAACACGTCCATCAAAGTTTGCGAAAAATATTTGTAATTTTTCTTTATCCAAGTTATATTGCCTTATAACTTCTTTTATAATTGTTTTGCGACTATAGCTTCGAAATTGAGGATTTAAAGTACATTGAGCATAATATTTTAGAGCAAGACTTTCAGAAAAAATATAAGGTAATTTTTTTTACAACTTAAATGAGACATACCAGTCAAATGTTTTTATCATCATATGAGAAATTACCAAATGGTTGAGAATTTGCAAACCTCGATATTTGTGTTTGCTTCCCCTTGCCTTTCGATATTTTCGCATACTCCACTAAGTGCGCGGACTTAAGATGCCTTGTGAGACTCCCGTATCTGCCGGAAGTTCCCAAGTTATACTCTTTATTGCAATGATTGCAACTTGCGGACCATTTCTCGATTTTTTTGTCTTTCCTCTTTATAAAATTATTTTCTATAATAGGAGATATAGATTTCTTACCAATTTGGGATGAACCACCTTCGTCCTCCAACTCTTCCTCATCATCCGGGGTGCCGTGACTGCCGTTGCCCCCACCCCCCATCCTCCTCCGCATCCTCATCCTCGAGCTCTTCTTCGTCAATGGTGGTCGGGATGTTTTGTTGATGGAGAAAGCGCTCATCATTTTGGGAC